ATTTGTTAGTCAGCGACCTACTGAATTCAGCTCGTTACTCATTTATTTAGTTTCAGTCTTTAGTCTTTGATACCTTTGATAATAAAAATAACTACAATTTTTGAATCTATTTTGAAATATATCTGCATCCTGACGGCGCGCTCACATTCTATTTAGGATTCTTGCTTCGTATAGCTGCGAAAGCGTCTGGAACCACAGCTTAGCATACAAGGGATAAAATGTGTTTAGCAGTCCAATACACGGTGAGATTTTCCTCTAAATTCTGCGTCTTCGGTTGGATGTATTTATATCACTTTGAATAAAAAGCTGCGTTTTGCTCGCTTCAAATTCTATGGCATTTCTACCAAACTGACGTTTCTGGTTAGTCAACTGTTTCTTCAACAGATATGAGATTTATATCAGTTATATTTCACTGAAAATGTCCCACCTTGTCCCCAACCACTGCTATCAGTTGCTTTTCTCGCCTTATCTTCATCGCTTTGCTTTTCTGTTTCGCTTCCTGTCCTCAGGTTTTTTGTGTCAACAAAGGCTTGTAATAAGCTTATCTAACTTAATGCAGACATAATCCATATCATATCAAAAAGGGGATATAACTAACGGAACATGTAGGAAAGATGTATTCGAGTGCGTACCTGATCGTTCTGTCAATCTGCGTAAACCATAAAAGGCAATTACCACGATATTCATCTTTATCTGTATTATCTCAGCTCAGAATTCTGTATAATGAATAAACGGACGCTAACATTTCATAAACTGATAACCGTCTTCAAGTTTCTCCCGTTTTACCATTCATCATATTTTATGTATTTCCAGTTGGTAAGAAACATTTGAGTCTGATAATCTGGTGCTACATTGATGGGTTTGTCAATAGCCTACATAAGGCTGCGGTTATTTAAAAAAACTGGTTTCAGGTGTTTTAGTGATTGATATTTTTTGCAACGTGAGTTTAAATTTATGTGCACCTGAGTGTCATTCAGAAGTGACAGCTAATGTAAAGAACGTCGGATTTTAATTTTTGTCGCAATCAGAGCGTTTTGAAGATTGATGGTATGAGGAGGAAGGGAGCCAATTATTTCTGTTAATATCCGTTTCTTGTCTTGAAAGAGCTTGATATAAGATTGTGACTGGTGACTGAAGATTTTGGTGGTCGATAAGTAAGCAAATTCATTAATTAACTCCATGCACGTGATTTTATTACCAGAAGGTAGTTGTAGGTAATCGATAAGAAGCCGTGCTTGACGAAGGTTAATTGTTTTCAGGCTGTTGTTAACAAAGTTCTCTTTATTTTGATTTGAATAATGGAATCAGATCAGCACTAAAGTGAGAGCTTCACCACATTTTATTTATTACTATCCAGTAATTTATTCGTTGTAACCATGTTTATTGTTAGAATTCGGTCATATGAGTCAACATTTTGAAATTAAACCTGAAACCGAGTCAACTAAACTGCTGTACAATCCGCTAATCTATTCTTTCTAAATTCACTGAAAGAGGAATGGATTTCCAAAAATTCGCTTCGGTAAATGTTGAAAATTTCAGCAGCTTTTTAGCCGGGCTATTGATAAATAGAAAGGGAGATTATTTCACATATTGATCGATCCTGACAATAAAGTCGATTATTATTACTAAACTGTAATGTCTCTTTATTTGTTTATGGAATTTCTGTTGATCATTAAAATATTCTAAAAATATACAAGGTGGCTTATAGCTACCGTTAAACAATTTCAGTAAATTTATTAATATCTAGTTCTTAGAAACAAATGGATATGACGTGATTTTGAGAGGAAATTTGAAAAACTTTGAGATAATAAATTTGCCCGAGCAATACTGAATTAGTGCACTGTACGTTTTGTGGCAAATCTTAATGGTAGTGAGAATAATCGTTATTCTTATATATAATTAATTTTGAAAGACCAAAATACTCTTCTCCTGAACATATTAACTATTCATTTTGATGGTCGTTTTTCTAAATGATAATCTATTAGTATCAGTATTTACTAAGTTAGATTGTGTAGATTGCAAATAAATCGGATTTTTCAGTTGAAATTTCATAGAAATCTTTACGTTCTCAATGATATAAAAATCTGAACTTACATAAGAGAAACCGAATCAGTCTAATTCTCATGTTAAACCCGATTGCTCATTAGAGAGTCAGTTGATGGATTAAGAAGGTAAAAAGCACATTTGACTGTTTTATGATCTATACTCGAGAGTACAGTATATTACTGATGAAGCAATACTGCTATGACTGTTTTCTATCGCCCTTATCTTTAAACATAAACACCTTCTCTGGACAGAATTGCTATACAAGTCATGCATTGGTCATTAGTTTCATATGCTTACAGTGACCCTATTTTTCTTCATATATTTTTACCCAAATTATTCATACCTTTTGTTCCTATTGTTGGTATAAATAGAAATTATGTTTCTCAATGAATCGAACTTGTCTTAGTTCAGTCGTTCGAATTTGCATATATAAATATATATATATATATATATATATATATATATATATATATACTTATTAAAGCTGTTACTTTGTAGCTAACATATCAACAGAACGTTTAGACAGAAAAATAATTCGTTGACAAATCTGCTTCCTAATAGTTTCTTTTTCGTGTTTGTTTTGAGATTTCCGATTGTATTCTCATTCTCATTTATCTTTTGGTCTTTTGCTGCAATTTAGAATGGTAGACCTAAAGTTTGCCAAATATGATAGTGCCATCAAATTAAGTGTACAACTGCAACCGAAATGGCTGGCCATTTGTTGAGAAGGTCCAAAATTTGCAACCAGTAGAGGCTTCCATGTTGAAGGCTGCTGCTAAACACCTTGATGTAGCAAACGGCTTTTTGGGGGAATTATGCAACGTCTGTTAATGTTGCTGGCCAGTGAATCGAATTGATTGGAAAAAACCGCATTTCTGATAACTTTTCTGACACTTATACACTGATGAATGCAGAAAACTTCACATAATGACAAGCGTCTCAGTAACAACATGATATAAGTGGCATCTTCACAAAAAAGCATACTAAAATTACACAGTGACCTATCACAGCCAGGGATTTTCTAGGTGGAAGGTGTGATCTCAAGGGTTCATGAAATAAATCCAAAATAAAGATATTTATAAAGCGACTTCTGTGGAAGTAACATACACAACAATTAGAAACAGGACTGACATTCGAAAGACCAGACCGTTTCGATCTGGAAGATTCGTTCTCCTGCTGAACAACGTGACCTTCGAGTCAACCCTGGCCTTCATATCCAACCTACCTGGTATCATGCAGCAAGTGGTACGGATCGGTGGTTGCATTCAGTGTTAGTATTGTCTCATAACTGACGCCGCAGAGAATTCGATTGATTGAAGACTGCATGACTGAATGGTTTGCACCCATGGTTGACAATGGGTCAGGAATTCGTCGGACTCATTCATGAACAGTTTCAAGCAGCGGTAGCGGGTATAGAAAAGAGAGAGCTGATCGCTAAATAGTTGGCTGAGGGAATGAACTAAAAGAACGGTGTCGTGAGTTCTGCGCAAGGATGACGTTGCAATACTTGTCCAGCTGTGATGGTCCAGGTTTCCGAAGGAGAGGACGTACACTCCAGGAATCATCTCTGTCTGCATCCATTAACAACACCTGATCAGACAGGACATTGACGTCAGGAACTACAAATGCTACTGGTAATACCATCGAGGGACTAGAGAACGTTCGGGGAAGATAGGTCCTGAGAAGAGATGTGTGACTAAATACGCATCTCCATCAGCTTCAGCTGTTGTTTAAATAGTTTTTCTAATAAAAGTGGATCCTTCGTCGGTCAGCAACTCGTTTGCGAGATCTTTGTCACCAACCGTTATTTAGCTTATCGAAAAGCTACCTATTGACCGATTTTGGATATTCCAGTACGACACCAAATACTGACCCAGAATCACCAATGTATCAGAACACAACATCGTTAGATGCAGTTATTTTTGGGGTCGCGTAAAGAAAGAATAAAGACCTTTAGAGACAAAGCTTATTAATGTGGTGGGGTCGAATAAAAAACAGCATTAAAGTACGTGATAGTAACAGTTAAAACGACCGTTATATTGATTACTTGTGTTAATACGCTTTACCTTTTCTTGTCTGGATGCGTTAACGTTATTTTGAAATAGACCTATCTGCGTGAATCATCACCCCTACCCTTCCTACTCACCTGAACTGGAATATGTTACATGCAGTCTTTAAAATACGCAAGCTAATGTAACTAGTAATCCAGCTCGCATGAAATAGTGAAAAATCACGGTACGAACATTGTGGGCAGTCCTTAACATACAATAACACCTAAAGCAACAATCAACAGGTTTATATACATTGGTGGTAAATACAGTTGCTTTGACGGAAAAGCAATGTGAGAAAGGTAATTATTCCAGAACATATTCATTTATCTGTTTCAGAAGTTAATAAACATCATTCGTCAAGCTATCCTATGAAAGTACGTTGGCTGTTGATCAGCTAGAGAAAGTACCACTGATTGATTTATTCCACAGATAAACAATCACTCATCCGATACTATTAAAAATAATGATTCTTGAGTTTCTAAAACGAATGCAATAACGTCACTAATCACAGGGAAGACTAGCGAAAAACGCGGTCGCAAGTATTTCAATAAATACATCATCTATCACAAAATCCTTCAAGATATTATTTTGGATTGAGAAGGCTAACCGCAAACCCATAAAGTATCAAAATATAATGCATTCTCCTAATATAATGAGTTCCTCGAAAATATCATCGTTGATCTCTCTCACTATATAATGCTGAATCTGGTGTAGATTGACCATTTCATTCATTACATAGTTTACCCATACTAGCTTGATGCGATGTTCAAAACTTTTTCTAAGACATTCACATTTTGCGACAATATGTTTCAATCAAACAAACGTAAATCAAAAGTTCTATGTGAAGTTTAGTTTATCTAATTTTTATTCAATGGAAAAAAACATAAGATAATCTAATGTTTGCCTCAGTGTTAAAAATTATATTTCGAAATTGGTGTACACGATGAATTGGAAAAAAAATATTAACGCAGTCACTGTGAAAAAGCATTTAGCGCAAAAATAATAATACTTTTTATACAATGCAGTTTTTCACTGAATAAGATAAAAAGCACTTGGCAAACATTGTAAATTCAAATAATTTATAGAAACTGTTGAGGTTAAAAATCAATTCACGTTATTTCAACATGATTGAGTTGATTCAACAATGAAAAGAACGAAACAGTTTTAGGTGAAGAATGCGCCAATTGGGATGGTTCAATGACCACCGATTATTTTGCTAATAGAATAATACACAGAAATCTCAAACTGATTAGAAAAAAAATATTAGTCATTAGTGTAATGAGTCACTGATTTCTGAAAATTGCATTTATTGAGTTGATATACTTGTCTTTGGTTCAAACTCCACTAAAGTTTTCCAGGCGATCCAGGAATGAGGAATATTTATTTCTCTGTATACGACCGTATTTTCTTCAACTGAATCTGATGAATAGAAGAAGACATTGAAAAACTTATTATTTTACGTATCAAAATAAATGACAGAAATATGATAATTGATTTCCAGCTGACTAAATGACGAATTCGGGGAAAAATTATAACTCTAGAACAAATATTTTATCATATTCTATCACGATATTTTTTATCCTTTCTGAATACTGACATGGAACACTGGTCTTGAAACGCAGCGTCAAATTTTCAAGAGATTTCAGCATATATGTGCAGGCAGCTAATGAGTCTTTGTATTAAACGAATATCCATTTCAAGAGAAAAGATTGTTCTTCAGTAAACTTTTGTGAACCTTCGCAGAATAAATAGCAAAACACCAATTATGCATAGATATTTACACTAAATGTTATTCTAGAAATTGAGCTCGGTGGTTCGTTCGGAAATTTTCATATCACTTTACTACGTCGTAGAGTGCTTGTTCGTTTTAAAGTCAATAAATCAGGATTCTGATACGTTTGACCTATGCGAATTTCTGATACGAATTCACCCTGAGAATAGGCTATTTAACTGATTCAGTTTGAAGTGCCTCCACATATATTTCAGTTCTCTCAAATCTAACTTGGTTAAGCCCTTTCGATTAATTTATTTAACCAAGCCATTTGTAAAACAATAACTTATATGTACCATTGGCTTTTATTATTGTGTGGTTTGTATGCGCTGGTATGATTGAACATTGTTTACACCTGCGCGCCTATTCATACTTTTCGCTTTAATGTTATTCTCTTAATATCCTCATGAACTCACATGATTTGTATCGCTTGCTTTTGACCTTGTCAATCATTCGTCGCTTTTATTCATGTGTGTGCATACCTATTTCGCTTGTCATATGTCTGTCTTATTCTTATCTGACTATATATTCTTAGTCATGTTCTATCTCTTGGAGTTGGCTAAACAGCCTTCTCCTATTCGCTTCACTCATTCACTCGCATTGTAATCCAAAGAGTTGGCTCTTAGCCTTCTCCGATTCGCTTCGCTTTGTGGTGTGCCTCAAATAAACGTATTCATCAATACGAGTTCATCTTCTGATTTATAAACCGAGCTTAAGAACACGCAGTTAGCGGCACACTACAAGTTTACACTCGGGTTCTCCGTCTTGTGTATTATTGCAGCATAGATTATATTATATATTATATATTATTCACTACAGAACTAATCAAACAGTCCACATAGGTTAAGGTGAAACCAGTGTGTCATTCATTTTTCACATCAAAATAATGTATGTTTGAAATGGAGTTAATATACACAATGCGTTACGTAAGATACTGGTCTCCTACACGCAAAGAATGACTGACTAATGAGGACTGGAAAAAAATAACGATATACATTCATTTGCCTCTTACCTTTGATCACAGTGTAAATCCTTGTTTTGAGCCTTTGAGTTTCAACTCTTCCGGCCACCTGAAAAAGAAGAAGTACTTCGATATTCGACTATTTATATCACAGGTTCACTGTAGGTTGAGTACCCGTTCCCCTTAGATAATTGTGATTTTGAATAATTGCAGTTTAACAGTACGTGAATTTACTGCCATATATAAAAATTGTGTCGACATGCTGCACTGTGTACATTTCATACCATATTTCTGTAATCGATGTGCACAGGCTACACAATAGAACTGAAAGGTGATTTAGCTTCAAAACATGTAATCTTTCATCTGTTGTATCCTTTTCCATTCATTTAACTGTCAGTTGTTCTGCACTGGTGAAAAAACAAACAGGGACGTTTATAATGTCGCCTGAATATTCCAAGCATTCATTTACTTTCAAACGTTTTGCTTGTAATTATCGTAGCTATCTCGCCTCAGAAAAAAATGTCCGAACAGATTGTCGCCACAGAGTATCTCAGAGTGTAGTATTCGTTTCCGAATGACAGAGTCCAATTATCGCTTTTCTCACGAAACGCAATATTCTACAAGTCATTCTCTGTTTGACTGTCCATGCTAACCTGTTCCACTTATTTAATCTGTAGCTCAGTGATCAATTCAGTCGTACTACAATAGTAACTATAATGATATCATCGAATGTGTATCCACATTACAAAATGTTTGTCTTTTTCTACGGTACGAAATAAACGTTGACACATTAGGCAATAATGAAATACGTAGCAGAATAAACTTAAAATGAACACTTTCATTAGCACTTTAGTTTATTCAGTAGTGTAGCTTACCCTATCAAAGTATATGGAAATGTTTCCGTTTGGGTATATCAACACATCTGTCTCTAACAACAACTCTGTGGAAAAACGAACAACGAATGTCAGATATATCAAAAGAAATGTATTGTTGAATAAAACACTATATTCATGCTCAAGCAATTCATGCTCAAAAGATAGTCAAAAAATTTACAATGAATTTTCTTCTGTGTCACGTAATCATAGTTGAACTACAACACAGTACTTCAACCTTGATCGCCAAATCGCTGTTTTGTGAAAAGATAATCTCTACAACTGTTCATTCAAAGATTATGATTGCTGATCAGTTATCCAAGATAAATTTCAAACTCTTACAACTAGCTTAATGATGTGCGGAAATCAGAAACTCGTAAAATTTACCGAATGACTGGTCCGCCAATCCCATTTATTTCTACACTCATTTTTACACCATGGAAATAATGATGCGGTTTATTCAACGTAGTGAGGTAACTAATAGAAGAAATTGGTCAAACTCTGTTAAACTCATTTGTCCTTGAAGTCATCAATGAAGTGTTTAGACAGAGAAAGCATTTTGTGGATAATCTTACTCCCAGTTGTACCGCAGGCAACAACTTACCATTTTTATCAATTTTAAGACTGAATTGAGTCACACAGTGCACAAATTGTATGTAGCTCTACCTAATCAATTTTTTTGTGCGCTAGAATTCAACGAATCATCAAAAGCATTTTTATCATGAACTTACTGACTGGCCAATACAACAGTACACGACAAGCCAACCTGATTTCTGAGATTATAACAGTGAATAATATATGATTATGTTTGAAATATTGAATAGCTCTGTGCTATATCTTTCAACAGATAACTATTTCAAAAGAGAATGTGTTTGTATAAAATTTATAAATTACTCAACAAGATTATAATAAACATAGTTAATAAATAAGTTTTCAGTAGTGTTGTTTCGATGACAGAATAAATGCTTCTAGTCGTTCAACTGAGAATGATGTCAACACTCTGTAGGCTACCAGATATCAGTATAGAATCAGATGATAATTCAGGTGGACTATATTGTGCCATGAGTATCGCTGAAATTGTTTGATGCCAGTTGATCCCTTGCTCTACCCCTTGTTCTATCGTCATCGCTAACTGCATTTTTCGTTTAAGAGACCACATAAAATTCAGATACAGAAGACTAACAATTGAAATTCGCAATAGGTTTCCTTATTGGTACGCTTGTCACCACCACCTTTCATTTACTAAAACATTAGTTTCACTTCAGCACCTACTAATTTTCACGAGCAAAACATATTTGTATTTTAAATAACTCATTAAGTTTGTGAAACAAAATAATTTCTCTATGTTTACTAGTACTATTCTCAAATCGAATTATTTAATTTGAATTTACGTGCGAAATATGTGTAGAAGAAGAAAAGGACAATGACATTCAATCAGAAGAACTTACTAGAAAACCCACAACTCTTAAGAATAAATGGCAATTTCAACGTGGATAAAATAATTCCGCCTCTAATTGTTTTCTTTTCCGAATTGTAAAACTGCATTTCGCCTGCGTTTAATTTATGAATGAAAAAAAAACAGTTTGATAATATGCTGTCTCGTCAGTGATTATGATAAAGTCGATTCAATATTTTTCGAAAGAAACGTTACGACTAAAGAAAATAATCACGTACCTGAATCGTGTATACTAAATGAATCATATCGTTCCCCGAAAAATTCGATTAAAAATGGTGAGTTATAAACCTATTAATTAACATCCATTTTTAGTATTAGTTTGTTGAATCTATTTCAAAATCTCACTCGTCCAGAATCGATTTTATAGTTTCCATCAGAGCTGACTATCGAATCTTGTCCACGACGTATAACTTGTGCATAATATAAGTGGTCCGACTGTATAAAAGTGACAAACTATAACTCATATGTTACTTTTCGGTATGATTCATTTTGGAAAATTATCTTTTCATAATGTTCAACCTGAACGTTGTCGAATTGTCCAGAAAAGTCTTGAGCATTCAAGAATTTTGGAATTATAAGAACGAACAAACACAAATATATCAGCAATCCGGATGACTCTGTGTTTCTGAAAAATTTGAAATGAATAACGTAGTTATTTCATTAAATAAAGCAGCAATCCGTCGTGTGCTCTCAATCACACCAACGTTTTTAGTCGACACTCACCTCATCTCCTTGTTCAAACCAGAAAAACACTGTCAAGTGTACTCAACCGGTTTATATACATTTTATCAACGTGATTGCTTGTTTCTGACTGGATAGTCTGAAACAACCAATAAGTGAACAAACTTTGACACAATCATTTGTTGTTCAAACATGAAACTATCCTTAACCAATAATCTAAACCTAAAAGATAAACCATTTAGAACATGAATACGTTAGCAAATACTGATTGAGATTATGGCCGGAGTACATAGTCGGTTTATGTTCAGGGTTTTTTGACTTTCGTCGGCCGAGCCTTTTTACCTAATAGTACCGTTTCAGAATCAGTCACATATCCTCGTTCCTTTGAAGTTCGTCACCTAGACTGCAGCGACGAGAATACAGGATGAAGAACTTCCGTGACACTGGCTAGAAACAGTTAAAATACATGATATATATCAAAATATATTAGCTGTATGGGTTATTATTTGAAGGAGCAGGATAAAAAATAATATACAGTTTGTTTGCACTATGAAAAATCATTAAAGTTTCGAATGTATGATATTAAATCCAATTCACATTGAAATATGACTGTTATATGATGATGACTGAGATTAATTTCCGCAATGACTTTCAAACAAGTACCTCAAAACGTGCAAGGAAATAAATAAAACAATAATGTCCAAAAACAAATAGGAAAATAAATACAAATATATTAGATTATCAGTGAAAGGAATGACATTCACTAATAATAATATGTATTTAAAGAGTAAGAGTGAAGTGCATACAAATGAGGAAGTAAACTACATAAAAATGCTTTCATGTACTAGTAAAATACTAATGCGTCCAAGCAATAATCAATTCCTTCGAATAAAAACCAACCAATGAAATAACGCATGACATATTCATATCACACAATGATATTTTGCAACTTCATATAATCAAAATAATTAGGGAAAGAGCTTCATGACATCTGCTAACCAACTAATAAATCAAAGTAAAATGCCGACATAATATCAAGTAAGAATATTATAACGAAGAATTGAAAACCTAGCTATGAAACTTTCAGTGAAAATGCCACATCATTTGTAATATACACACTGAGACTAAAAATACCAATATCACTGAATCTGCACTAAAATATTCTCGCCTCATCATTTGAACATAATTATATACTAGACAGATCGATTGACATACTGCATTGGATTGGAACGAAAATTAGCTAGCTTACTGGAAAGGAGAAATTCAATAGCAATGATAATAATTATAATCGTAATTTGAAATGATCTTTATATTGGTTGGTTGATTTGATTTATTGTCCAATTCGCAGATGTCATTACGGTCTGTCCTGTTTTATCCTATGCTTATTTGACACAGAAATATATCAATTTATGAAGTGAATATATTTTGGATCGGTTCAGTCGATTGATAGCATTGGAAAGCATGCATCAAGTGTAAGACAAGTTAGTGGGTTGCAGAAACATCACTGCGTGTTTCAGACAATTTTATCATTTCCGAAGAAGCAGAAAATACACTGATCCTCAACAAAGTACCAAATAATGTTGACTGTGCAGTATGTCAATCGATCTGTCTAGTATCTAATTATGTTCAAATGATGAAGCGATAATATTTGAGTGCTGTTTCAGTGAGGTTAGTAATTTTCGTCTGAGAGTGTGTAGATTACAAATGAGGTGGATTTTTCATCGAAAATTTCATAGACTTTTGTTCGCTAATTTTGATGGAATAATCCGAAATGAATATTATTCCGGTGCTATAATTACATTTATTAGTGGGTTAGCAGATGTCAATACGTTGTCGCTAAACTTATTATGCTTATATGACGCTGAAAATATCAGTTCATATAGTGAATATATTTCGGATCAGTTCAGTGGATTCATACCATTTGAAACGATCCATTCGTGGTTATACACGTATGTAAGTCGCTAGTTCATCACTGCATTTTTAGAGAAGTATATTATTTCGGAAGAATATAAAACACTGATCCTCAACAAACTAACTATTCATGATGACTGTCAATCTTTTCGCTGACAGTCTTTTAGTGTTGGTAATCATTCAATGGTAATTTCTGTAATTTATATTAAAATGAATAATAATCTTATTATTCATGATATTTATTATTATCACAACGGTTATGTTGTACATTATTTTTGATACTCTTTTTAACAACCTCTTTTCGACCGTTTAAAAGGTCTATATTACTCTACATCCTTTATTTGGCACAACAGTTTTTCCCGCGTAGTGCTGAAGTTTCATCCATGTTTAAATTAAGCTTTCGTTCTCGTCGTACCTGACCTCATCTTTAATCTAGCTCCCGTGAATTTCGACTTCAAAAATGTTACGGACAGTAATAAAACGAAAATGCAGAGCTCAGTTTAAACGGTGGTAAGCTGAAAGTAAATAAAAGTTATTTTGAAAATACAAAATGCCACAAATGTCATAGCTTTCACTAGCCAGTACAAAAATGGCGAAATGGATGATCGTCAACCTCGAATTGAAAAAAACTTTTCTCATCCAGTTTGGATTCGAAATCTAGATAAGGAGTTTCAAGCAAGGAGACAAATGTCAAAAGTAAACATTACCTGAGGTGAAATATCAACGAATGGGAAGAGTAAGTCATCCGTAAATGGGACCCGATGTCATCAGTGTAAAGTGACTATTCTATTGTTAACCTCTGACCCCACCTAGATTGTTCATAAATCCTAATGATCACTCAAAAGTATGTAATTCGCGCCCTACTAATTCCAAATATCAACAATCAGGAAGGTCACTTACAGAAGAAACCCATTTATGAAGTGATGCATGTTTGCAGGTGACCATCCAGTGTCTATCTTTAGCGTTTACTATTCTCATTTTGATGTACATCTACTGAATAAGTCCTTATTTTTTCTTTCATTCTTAAGAAGTAGAAGATGCCTATAACAGTATTATGTTAGGTCGGGTTCCGGTTTCACTAGATGATCTGACGTTCATGTGAATCCATATTAAACAATATGCAACCGAAATATATCTTAATGGCAATAATTGATATTAAACAAATATGTAGACGGGAATCAAGTCATTTCATCTGTTTATTCCGTTTAATGAGAATAGATTATCTCACAATGTGGAAACATTGTACGTTACCGTTTGCTAGCATATCAGTATACATGAATAGAATATTATGTTTCAGCCCTTCAGCCGACTGTTGGAGGAATTAACGAGTATGAATGAAAATTTTGTCAGACATCTAAGTGTTGGATAGGCAGCCTTCGTAAGCTGCATAACACGATATTTATGAACAGTAAGCTTTCTTTTAAAAAAACTCTTAGACATAATACATTATTATTGAATGACTTTACAAATCTCCATACTTTATACAAGAGAATCCTCTGAAATTGCTTATTCAAATGTCCATTTGTTTTTTGGAAGTATTTTCAATCAATAATTTTTGATATATGAAACATCACGAGATAATTGGATCGTTGGTTCGGCGAATCCAGTTTATTATCGCCGACATTGAAGCCTAATAAATAAGTCGTCTCTGCTCAAGATAATGATGTTATACACAAGCTTGCTGAAGACACCTTGTGGTTTTTAATGTCGAAGTGTCGCCTGATGCAGCTGGTCATTATTAGTGATCAATTCTAATGTAAGATACATACATGACATGGATGTGTGAAGCTCGCATGACTTTCATCAACGTGCGTCGGTTGTGACTTAAGTGTACGAAAATTCGTTTCTTTATTCAACCTAAACTGATGTACATAAGTACTAACTGCAAATGACTAGCTGCTTCATGGCGCAATATTCAATGGTCAAGATCGGAACAATTTTCACTAGGAAATTTTCAAATTAACAATATACTCACTCCAATAGATTTTTGTTTACTATATAGTTCATCCTTTATTTTTAACTTTTACGGCTGTTAGTCAACATGAAGAATGTAGAATGAATGAACGAATGAATGATCAATCAGTGCGTAAAAGTTATTACAGTTGAAATGATATGGCTAGCTGAAGTCGTGATAGATGGAAGCAGTGAACATTTATTCGTATATGTTGTGTTCGTTATCGTTACTTACTTACTTACTTACTTACTTACTTACTTACTTACTTACTTACTTACTTACTTATTTACTTACTTACGCCTGTTATCCCCAATCGAGCATAGGCGGTCGACCAGTTTTCTGCAACCAACTCTGTCCTGGGCTTCCCTTTCCAGTTCTGTCCAATGTTTGTTCATTCCTCTCATATCTTTCTCTAATTCTCAGCATAATGTGTTCTTTGGCCTTCCTCTTTTCCTTTTGCTATGATGGTTTCATGTGAGGGCTTGTCTCGTGACGCAGCTAGGTGCTTTTCGTAATGTGGGTCCTATCCACTTCCAGCGCTTCATCCTGAGTTCCTCCTCCACTGGAATCTGGTTTGTTCGTTCGTTATTGTTCCTGGTATGAAAATAAACGTTGTGAGTTTCAGGTTTGTTTATTTCCAATAAAGATGATAGTGTCTAATTGGTGAATAGTTAAATAAACTTAGCTAATAAACAAAATCGGCAGGTTTGAAAATCTTTACATTCATATTTATACCTCGTTTGTTCTTTGCTGGTGATCGAGTCATGTTTGCCTATGATCACCACTAAGTACTAAATAATACCCGTTCGCAATGTGCATAAATAAATCCAGGGTAAACAATATATTCGAAGGAGAAATTGATTGACACAACAAACGCCTGTGTTATGAATGATAGCAGCAATGCAAAGCAGAAGGTCGCGCATAAGTAAGCGTTTTTAGTTTGGTTAAACAAAAGATGTACAATAATAAATGTTTCCTTTTGACCAATCGCGTTTCGTGAGTAGAGGCGTTCCACTACAGGAGCCTTCCCCTAGCAAGGGTTTACACTTTTGATCCTTGATGGAATAATTGCGATGGG